TAGGCACAAGAGAAGGCGGTGAGCTGTAGGGAAATTTGGAGTAGGGCAACGGAACCGTAGGGGCCAGCAGTTGGCTGACTTTATGGAGAAAGAGGGACTCTTTATGATGAACTCTTTCTTTCAGAAGCGGCCCCACAGGAAGTGGACCTGCTCGAGCCCCGACGGTTCGACAAAAAATGAGATTGACTTCATTATGACGACCAGACGCCAACTGTTCAGTGATGTCTCAGTGATCGCAAGGGTGAAAACCGGCAGCGATCACCGAATGGTTAGAGGCACACTGAACCTAAACGTTAAGTTGGAGAGGTCTCGTCTAATGAAGTCAACGCTCCGTCCCCCTCGTGCTCTAATCCAGAATCCCGAGACTATTCAGCTCGAGTTACGTAACGGCTTTCAGTGCCTAGAAGATTGCAATGCAGTGGACGATATGAATGACAAGCTCGTGGAAACTGTCCATGCGGTCGGAGCTAAGTTCTGCAAGACCCGCCGCAGAAGAACACAAAAACTCTCCGATCACACTCTTAATCTCATGGCTGTTAGACGGGAGATGAGGCTGCAATCGTCAACAGATTTGACAGCATACAGGCAACTGAACAGACAGATCTCCAAATGCATGCGGCGAGACTTACGCAACTTTAATACTGCTCATATTAAAGAAGCGTGTGAGTAACGATCCAAGAGCAAGTCTTACCCGACACTATTCCGATGATATCCCGGACGTCAGTCTGAGCGAGATTAGAATGGCTCTCCAGCACCTTAAAATCGGCAGGGCCCCAGGCGAGGATGGAATTACAGCGGAGCTTCTGAAAGCGGGTGGAACACCGGTACTTGAAGTCCTTCAGGAGCTCTTCAATTCCGTCCTCCATGGTGGCACTACTCCGGAGGCGTGGAGCAGAAGTGCGGTGGTCTTGTTCTTTAAGAAAGGCGACAACGCTCTTTTGAAGAACTACAGACCGAGTTCCCTTCTGAGCCGCGTCTACGTGCTGTTTTCGAGAGTCATTACGAATCGCCTCGCACGCAGACTCGACGACTTCCAGCCTCCCGAACAAGCCGGTTTCCGAAAAGGCTTCATTACCGTAGACCACATACATACCCTGCGGCAGATTATACAGAAGACCGAAGAGTACAATCTGCCACTTTGCCTGGCGTATGTGGACTATGAGAAAGCCTTTGATTCCGTCGAAATTTGGGCGGTGCTACAGTCCCTTCAGCGGTGCCAAGTTGACTGTCGGTATATCGAAGTACTGAAGTGTTTGTACAGTAGAGCTACGATGGCTATCCGAGTACAGAATCAGAGCTCGAAACCTATCGAACTGCAGAGAGGTGTAAGACAGGGTGACGTTACCCGAACCACCGCTGCATTGGAAGACGTTTTCAAGCTACTGGACTGGAAAGGATACGGTATTAATATCAATGGCGAGTACATCACTCACCTTCGATTTGCCGACGATATAGTCCTTATGGCAGAATCGCTGGAGGACCTTAGCACTTTGCTCAATGACCTCAATGGTGTCTCCCAACGGATAGGTCTTAAGATGAACATGTACAAAACAAAGATCATGTTTAATTTCCATGTCTTACCTACGCCGGTAGTTGTTGGGAGCACTATGCTCGAAGTTGTTGACGAGTACGTTTACCTGGGACAAATAGTCCGACTAGGTAAGTCCAACTTCGACCGAGAGGTCAATCGACGGATTCAACTCAGCTGGGAGTCAGGTATACCTCAATCTCTGAAAACTAAAATGTACAACCAGTGCGTGTTGCCAGTGATGACTTACGGATCAGAGACGTGGTTCACTGCTGGCCGTATGAGGACGCTCAAGGTCGCTCAGCGAGCTATGAAGAGATAGACTCAGAAATGAGGATATCCGCAGTAAAACCAGAGTGACCAACATAGCCCAACGGATTATTAAGCTGAAGTGGCAATGGGCCGGCCATATAGCTCGAAGAACCGATAACCGATGGGGAAGAAAGGTTCTCGAGTGGCAGCCTCGTACCGATAGGCGTAGTGTAGGGCGACCCCCCACTAAATGGAGTGACGACCTGGTAAGACATGCAGGAAGTCGATGGATGCAGGTGGCTCAGGACCGTGCTTTGTGGCGTTACTTGGGGGAGGCCTATGTTCAGCAGTGAACTTGTGAAGGGCTGTAATGATGATGATGATGATGAGAATTTTTTTTTATTTCTTTTAAGAGATTGCAAGTTGATGTTAACATTTCGATTAGAAGACTGATTGGATGGTGTGTGTGTGTGTTTAACTAATTCTATTAAATCTGTATAACATTGTAAAGGATTACTATAATCAAAACTATGATTTTTTATTAAATTATCTATTAGTTTTGGATATTTTGACCAATCTACCAATTTTAAGTTTATGTTCTTTGATACAGCTATTTCTTGAAAATTTTGTTTATTGACCGTAATTTTTGTCTTTACAGGGAAATTATAGCTGCCCAGAGAATCATCACATACTTGCCACTCACAAGACAGAGCCAGTGAAGATGAAACAAGTGTCAAGTCTAATGCATTCTGCCTCCATCTGTGAGATCCTACTGTAGTCATCTGACCATCATTCAAGATTACAAGATTGTTGTCATCTATACTTGCAAGAACGTCCCTACCTCGTGATATCCGATTCAGTACATCCCCATAACGTGTGATGGGTGTTGGAATCCAGCTATAAAAACTGGCTGTGGAAAACTTTGGATTAAATTATCTAATTTGGATTTATTATTATTAATTGGTGAATTAGGGGGACAATAAACACTAACTAAAGTCAAAAATTTATCATTATATTGTATTTGTACAGCTATATTTTGTAATTAGTTATCAGAGAATGTATTGATAACACGAAATCCAATTTTGTTATGTAGAAGTATTGCTACTCCACTATGATCATTACCTGAATCTAATTGTATAATATTATAACCTTTTACTCTAAAATTGTGCAACATCTATAGTGTTCTCATATAAAAATTGTATAAATTGAAAGTGATTTTTAATTAAACTCTGTGCATTCCATTGTAAAATGTTAAACTGATCCATAAAATATTAAATGCTAAATAATGAAATATCTATTTTGGTTTCATTGTATCTATGATAACATCTTTAACAAGCTGAGAAGACATGGTGGTTTGTTCATTTGGTTTATTAAGAGTTAATATTTTAATGACAGTATTTAAAATTATATTAATAATATCATCATTCTTTTGTAGTGACATAAGAGCATCTTTAGGGTTTTTTTGTTTAATTCGGGGAAATCTTTTTTATTAAAAAGGTCCACAATCATGGTCGTTGTTCGTTCGAGCCGACCCATTTGTGCTACAGCCATAATATATATATGCAATGTTGCTCTACCACATATAGTTATTTCTACCTCAGTCAACGATATTGCTCCACCATAATCTATACCATATCTAGAATGGCAGTGACAAACTAGCACACAGTCCACCTGGTGGTGGGTGGCCCATAGACATTTAGACGTATTCTCAAGAATCAAAATATAGATTTTATCATTGAAGACTACGATGGATTTCTCCGTTTAGGTTTATTGTCTTTTTAATGAAATACATGCTGCTGCAGTCACCAGTAAAGTATTATTATCCATATTATTATTTATTTCCATTCCGTACGACTGCCAAGTTCGAAGTGACGCTATGCGTCCAAATGGAAGTGTCGTCAATGGTACCGTATCTGTATAAGTTTTCATTTGGAGTGCATCCATTTGGAAGTTTTCTAAATAGACGTATCGTCAGTGGGTACCTTAATGTATGTACTTCTGCATCCAAACCTGTCTGTCAAAAGTCTGAGGCATAGATTACTGACTATGTACTAGGTCTGAGGTAAGTGGTACGAGGGAGGCGGGTTGAAATGCACGCTAATTGGTTAAAATCAAGGTTGCAAAACTTGTTAGGTACCAAGTCTACTTAATCAGTACCAGAATAATATTCTACTTTAAATTTGTACAAAATAAAAATAAAAAAACAAATGAAGTTTTTTTAATTAGGTATAGATAGTATTTAGTAAAATACCTATAATTTTTTTGTTTTAAAGAATATGTTTTATTAAAACAAGCTTTCTTTACAATATTGAAATAATAATAGAATACTATTAAAAATAAAATAGCAACAGTTATTTAAACTGTCAAGTTCATTTTCGCGTACTTGTCTTGGTAACCAAATGTATAAAAAGTTAAAAGAAAAATGGAAAAAATAGCGTGGCGTTTGTTTTAAGTGTCAAGTGGGGTTATTGTTATTTGATTTTAAACAGTACGAGTATCTCTCTCCGTGTTCTATCTTGTGTTTTAAAACCAATAAAAAACCGGCCAAGAGCGTGTCGGGCCACGCTCATTGTAGGGTTCCGTAGTTTCCCGTCCGTCACAATAAGTGTTCCCACTTATGAGTTTAAGGGTGGGTATCCATTATGTTAGCGCTCCAGCAGCGCTCCGCGCTCCTGCAACTGCTCCCGGTAGTGGGTACTGTTGTTTCCATCCAAGTTCAAAATGATTTTCCTAGAAAGTCCTTATAAAGTTCTACTTTTCAGATTTTTTTCATATTTTCTAAACTTATGGTTCAAAATTAAAGTTATTATTTCCGAAATTATTGACATTATCAAAAAATGATTTTAGTCAACCCCTATTCATTTTTATATACCTATTCAACAATATATCACACGTTAGGGTTGAAATTAAAAAAAAATCACTTCCCAATTTACATATAGGGGGACTACCCTAATAAAACATATTTTTCAGATTTTTATTTTACCACTTTGTCGGCGTGATTGATACACATATTGGTACCAAATTTCAACTTTCTAGTGCTAACGGTCACAGAGATTAAGCGAGGACGGGCAGACGGACAGACAGACATGGCGAAACTATAAGGGTTCCTAGTTGACTACGGAACCCTAAAAAGTAAGTTATAGCAATGATGAAGTAATTAAATTGCTACATCTCATTTATATTGATTTAAATGTAATTAATATCGTCTTTTTAGTATAAAATGGCAAATAGAGTGTCGAACGATCAGCTCGAAGAACTATTGGAGTTTCTTGGCCAACATCCCGCTTTAGCCAAAGGAATTGGGCTTGGAGCAAGATCCAAAGAAACAGTTGATAAACTGTGGAATAATCTTGCTACAAAGCTGAATGCTCATGGATCTGGGTCAACGAAATCCGGTGAACGGTGGAAAAAGGTAAGCTTTAATATTTTTAAAAGAAACACTCCAAAGAATTATATAATATTTCAATATTATTTCAGCTAATTTGGAATAAGTAGGGCCTTTGTACGTAATTACTATAAGACTGCTTCTGTATCTTAATGTGTGTACATAAAATAAAATAAAAAAGGATTTTTAAATAAATTGTAAAATTGCATGCCTTAATGGCATGCAATTTTACAATTATGCTTATTATTATGCAATATTACAATACCATAATATGTGTTATTAAAGTAAATACTTTTGCATTCATAGTACTGGGCTGATCTCAAACACAAAAGTAAGTCTAGACTTGCAAAACGGAGGCAAGATTCTTTGGCAACTGGTGGTGGTCCGAGTAGCCAAGATGATTTATCAGAGACTGACAAAAAATACCGTAAAGTGGGGATATTTGGAAATCGTGGGTATATTTGGTATTTTTTATTTTTAAGATTGCGATCCAAATATTTTTTGATATGGTAATGGTAGAAAAGAGATCTTCAATTCTGGCAACACTATAACTCATGTCAAGTTTATTCTGGAAAGTTACGCCACGCTGCCATAAAAACTGTGTCTACAAGTATTATTTTAATAAAACCGTGAAAAAACAGCAAAAACTTCATTGTTGAACTTTCGGACGGTGCTTTGAAGATTTCATAGTAAGTAAAAACTATTTTCTATAAAGAAAAGAGCGATATCTCGGCATTCCAAAACCCTCCTAATCAACATCGCATGTGTTACCTGTCCGCCATTTTGATCGAATATTCTCATGAGGATATTTGAAACAGCAATTAAGGATATTTGGTACCGTAGTACGAAAAATGATGGTGTTATTTGGACCAACTTTACCAAATATACCCACAAGTAATGTGATCCCATGTATGCATTACTGGTGTTATTTGGAACGATAATACCAATTATACTCACAAATAATGTGATGTTTATTAAGGGTAAGATGTTCGAATCCTTTGTATTTCGGATATAATTTTAAAGACTTTTTTGATTTTGTTGCAGGAATATGCATCAAAATGCCACGAATATATATTAGAAAATTCAGAAATACTAGGAATGGAAAGTCCTTCCTACCTTACACTAATTACATCTCTGAAAATTTACAGAAAGCAATTCGAGACGTAAAAAGTAAGACTAGGAGAAGCATCATCTAAATATCAAATACCTAAAACAACGTTATCGAGAAAATGTAGAAACCTTAATTGCTCACAAGAAAAAGCAGGATGTCGTACCCTTTTTTCACCTGAAGAAGAGAAAGCCTTCATTAAACACATTGTAAATTTGGCAGAATGGGGATTCCCATTCGATCTTATTGATCTTAGTATTTTCGCGCAAAGGTACTTAAATAAACTCGGAAAAACAATATACGGACTACCCGAAAATTTGCCTAATTCAGAATGGGCTCGAAACTTTTTAAGGCGTCATAAAGATTTGCTTTCGAACCGTATGGCTTCCAATATATCTACCGATAGAGCAAAGGTATCAGCATCGACGATAGACTCATTTTATGAGTACTTTGCACCAACAATCGATGGTGTAACACCTGACCGAATCATAAACTATGATGAGACTAATTTAACTGACGACCCAGGAAACAAAAATACATTTATAAACGTGGTGTAAAATACCCAGAACGGGTAACAAATACATCGAAAACGGCTGTTTCCCTCATGTTTGCTGCTACAGCCGAAGGTCAGTTATTACCGGTTTACGTGGTGTACAAAGCAGAACACCTATGGGATACCTGGTTATAAGGAGGTCCTCCAGACGCAATATACAATCGCTTTAAAAGTGGATGGTTCGACTCGGTTTGTTTCGAGAATTGGTTTGAAAAAGTGATCGTTCCATACGCTAAAAAAAGCCTGGACGTAAAATTGTCATAGCTGACAATCTCTCATCACACTTTTCTGAAAACGTATTAAAAAAGTGTGAAAAGCTAAACATTTCATTTGTGTGCTTGCCCCCCAAATCAACGCGCCTTCTGCAGCCGCTAGACGTTGCTCTGTATGGACCTTTAAAACATTATTGGCGAACTATATTGACTGGGTGGAAAAAAGTAGAAGGACGCAAACATAAAACCCTAGTAAAAGATGTTTTTCCGAAACTGCTGGCCAAACTTATGAACAAACTTATGGAAAACAACACAGGGGGAAAAACGTCATTGCAGGTTTTAAGAAATGTGGGCTTTATCCAATCAACCCGGAACTACCGAAGTCACAGCTGCCACACAGTCATGACTTACTGCCCGAGGAAATTGAAACAGTTGCTACTTCAGTTGTCATAGAACATCTAAAAGAAATGCGGGGGCTATCGGCTTCAAATTACTTACAACTTACACTTAAATACTGTAATAATAATAAAAATAAAATTATAATTTGTGGAGATTTTAATATAAATATAATAGATGCAACCAAAATTTCTAAAAATTTTATACAACTATTAACAAGCTACAATCTAAAAACAGCTATAAAAGTACCTACACGACTAATTAGTGATACATGTATCGACAATATTTTTCACAATATTCAAGGGTGTAAGAGCAATACTTATGACTTAGCTTTGTCAGACCATACGGCACAACTGTTAATATGCCCAGTCAAGCAAAGCTACTATCTTAATTACTGGCATAAAAGCAGACGCGATTACAATGTAGAAAATCTTCACAAATTTAACAATTCCTTGAGCTCTCTCACTTTCAACGAGGTTTATAAGGAAAAAAAATCCTAATCTTGCTTTTGACCAATTTCATGACTTGTTTACCCTCCTCTATCGCCTATGCTTTCCTGACATTAAAATTAAAGTCTATTCACGTAAACAAACAAAATGGTTATCTAATGGGATAAAAAAATGTACTAAGCGTAAACGACAGTTATTATGGCAATACAGAAAAAAACGCAGCGTAGAAAATAAAACTATATTAAAAGAGTATTCCCAACGTCTAAACAAAATTATCAAACTTACCCAAAAGTCCCAAAATAATTACTATATTAACACAGCACAAAATAAATCTAAAGCTACCTGGCAAGTTATAAATAAATACAAAAATGGCACAAATGAAGAAGCAATTAGTAAAATTATTGTTGATGGTGATATAATTGAGGATCCTCTAGTTATAGCTAGGGCATTTAATAATTTCTATACCAACAAAATTAATAAAGACCGCCCAAATAGTGATAAACCATATAAGTTAACTTTTAACAATCCCAATTCAATTTTTATACCACCCACAACATCATTTGATATAGATAAAGCTATAAAATCTCTTAAAAACACAAACAGTACCGGTTGTGATGAAATTTGTACAAGAGTTCTAAAATACGTATCCGGTGCAATTGCTCCGGTACTTAGTTATATTTTCAATTTATGTATTTGTAATGGTATATTTCCTGAAAGACTAAAGTCTACAATTGTCAAACCACTGTTCAAAAAAAATGATCGGGAGAATATGTCTAACTATAGGCCCATTGCGCTTATACCTGTGCTCTCAAAAGTATTTGAGAAAATAATTTATAACTCTTTATATAACTACCTTGAAACGTACAATATTCTTAGAGAAGAACAAATAGGATTTAGAAAAAATAAGACTATAAATATGGCTCTATACAATTTTTTTAATACCGTTATGTCTAGCCTAAACAATAAAATACCTGTATGTACACTTTACATGGATCTTACTAAAGCATTTGATTATGTTGATCATAAAATATTACTCAAAAAGCTTGAAGCCTACGGCATTCGAGGTAATGCACTAGATCTACTAACATCATATTTAGTTAACAGAAAACAAAGTACACACATTACAAAAATTAACCTATGTTTCTGAATACAGAGTCGTACAAACTGGAGTACCGCAAGGAAGTGTTTTAGGACCATTGTTGTTTCTTATTTATATCAACGACCTTCCCAACGTCATTAATCACAAAATAGTATTATTTGCTGACGATAGCACAGTTATTTTCACTAGCAGAAACAAAATAGATTTAGAAAGTAACACACACTTTGCTTTAGAGAAAATCATGAATTGGCTAAACATAAATAATTTAATATAAATTTAGAAAAAACAAAACTTATGACATTCTATCAAAAACGTAATAAAATAAATAATTTAAATATCAATTATCTAGGACAAAAAATCAATACCATAGATAATATAAAATTTTTGGGTATAAATGTAGATTGCAATTTGAACTGGCAGTCTCATGTGAGCAGTGTGTGTATGAAATTAAATCGTTTTTCGTATGCGTTATATATGCTTGGAAAAGTTGTAGACACATCCGCCGTAATGGCATCATATCATGCTTATGTTATGTCTACACTTAGATATGGTATTATGTTCTGGGGTAATTGTACGGACAAAGAAACAGTATTTAAAGCTCAAAAGAGATGCTTACGAGCCATTTGTAAAATTAACCAAAGTGAGAGTTGTAAGCCATACTTCATTAATTTAAAATTATTAGCAATGCCATGTCTATATATATATGAGGTAGTCTTATTTGTACGTCAAAACTTAAGTTTTTACAAAAAACTAAATGTCCAGCGTCATAAAGATAAATTGAGCCATCCCAATAGTAAGACTGTTTTGTTTCAAAAAAGCGTATTCTGTATGGGTCCTCGACTGTATAACCATTTACCTAAATATATAAGAGATTCTAAGAGCTTTCACATTTTTAAGAAACAACTAAACACATTTTTAACCATAAAAACTTATTATAATATTGACGATTATCTATATGACAATTTTTAAATTTTAACTATCAAATTTATTGAACGAAACGTTATCTATGTTATTAATTTTGAGACAATCTATACCTACTCGTTTTGACATTATTACTTGGACATTACAATTTTAATTATTACATGTATTTTATCATTATTTTGTGAATTATTATTATGTTAGTATCGCAAATATACAAATAGGGTTATATTATGTTAATGTAATTATCGGCATTTTCCATTTAATTTTAATTATAAATAAAATCTAATATTTAAGTAGTTTGCATACCGAAAGGTAGAATATGGCTGTATTTTGTTAAATTATTAAGACCTATTGTAACCCATATATCGCAAATGAATAAAATGAATTTGAATTTGAATTTGAATTTGAATTTCAGATGAGCCCAGAAGACGTAAAAAACGATGTAATGTTCCAGCAGGCCGAGGCATCACAGCACGAGACATTGAGCAAACGAAACCTAAAAAACCAAATAAAATGACATATAATGAGTTTGTAAATAGTGAAGTTGAAGTTTCTTCATCTGACTCGTCTGAAATAATAGATATTTCAACATTTGATATTCTAGAGCCAGGTCCGTCCAAGTTAATAATCCAAACAAAAAGTACGCAGAAAAATAAAATGTATGAAAAAGAATCTAATAAACATAAGAACACCAAGAAAGGTAAAGGTATTGGAAAAAGGAGCAAAATTGGAAAAGAAAAGGTAAGGACATGAAACGCAAAGAATACGGGAAAAAGAGATGTTTTGAAGAAAAAACCATGATAATGCACTGAAACAAAATAATAAAGATAAAAAGAAAAAAATAAATTGCAGAAAAATTTCAACAGGCTCTACTACTTCTGAGTCACAAACCATAAGTATATATGAAGATTCTGATTGTATTGACGAAAACTTTGATATTGATAGAGATATGGATTTTAGAAATATGAATCGTTGTTCCTCGGGTCCAGTCACATTGACAGAAAATCAAGAGATAGTCCAATCTTCTGACAACAGAGAATCAAAAACACACAAGGAGTTAAGCACACTCGAAACTATAGAACAAATAATCCAAACTTCTGACAACATAGAACCAGGTACTACAAAGAAGGAGTTTAGAACAACCGAAAATATAGAAAACTTTAAAATAACTACACCTTCTGACATAATAGAACCAGACATGACAACAAATAAAACAAGCTCAATCAGCATTCCAGAAAATCAAGGGATTGTAACAACAGAGAGAAAGAGACAACAACGACCAATGAGACTCAAGAAAACCGAGACACGAGTGAATTTTATGACAACAAAGAAGCAAAAGTTACTACCAAAGAGAAATTACCAACAGAAAGCACTGACAAGACTATATCGAACCAAGAGACAAAACTAACAGAAGAAGATATCAAGACCAATTTTAACAACCATGATTCAGAAAGTAGAAACACAGAACAAGAAAAAGAATATGAATTGAATGACCACGTAATTGTAAGATACATCAACAAAAAGAAATGGAAATATTATATAGGTATCATAGAAAACATAAACATGGAAAATGAAGAACCTTATACTATTAGATTTTATAAAACAGCTAAAAAACCGTCGTTACGGTTCCTTTTGACACGAAAGATTGACAGGGACATAGTTCCCTCCCTCTATATGTATTGTCAAGAAAGTAAATTTTGATACAAAACCCAAATTATTCAAAGTTCTTTCTGTCCTTGGCTGACGATGATGTGGAATTATTTACGTAAGTGCATGCTGATAGTCTTAAAGGATTGTAGGTAGGCCATTGATTGAAATCAATGGATAAAATTCACTAACTGACGCTGTCATAATTATGTCATTTGTTCCATATATTTTTTAAATAGTTAGCTGTGTCCTCCTGTTTACCTTAATTTCACAGAATACATTTACCCTGACGGGATTATTTTGTACTTGTAGTAATTGGTAAGCCTAAAGTTTTCATACATTGTAAGAATTAACTCAACACAAATATTTAAAATGACAGTTTGACATTGGGACTTTGGGACCAATTCACAGTCACAAAACTTTTTTGACAGGACTAAAGTTGTTTTAAACAATCTTTCTTTTTCTTATTATGGATAAGAGAAGGATATAATCCTATAAATAATTTTAGTCTTGTCAAATAAGTTGTGTGCCTATGAAATAGCCCAACTCTAGAGAGATTTATTATAGTAGACGTTTTCTTTAACACTTAAGTATAAGATTTCAGGATTTGATTTGTGAGTTCATTCTTCGCGATCGCTAAATTTTGTAAGTTTATATTGTGATAATTGGATTTGTTACCTAAAATACACACAATGTTAATTTAACTGGGTTTTGTTTTCGAAAACTATACATGTGCGATTGGTTTATTCAATAATTGACAATCCTCGTTCCATATTTCGTAAAAGTAAACTTTTAAATGCGTTGTAATAAAAATATTAACATTGCTTAAATATCTCGGTTTGATAAAAATAACGATAATTCGAGTTGTCAAATATTATATAGACCATTAGAACAAGTTTATACCTATAGTGATGATATCATTTAGCAAAAAATAAGGTTCCAAATATCATCCAATGCGTATAAAATGGTATTATTTGAAAAATACATCGTAACAACACTTACGGAATTTTCATTTCCAAAAAAAACCCATGAGGAGTATATTTGAAACAAAACCTTAAAAAATATATATCTCGGTAACAATCGGCCCTATACTATTGAGACAGCCACTATCAGACCTATCTGACTGGGGTTTTTCCATAAGTGTTTAGAATATTACGCAATTATTTATATTACGTTAACAAACAAACGTTTTCATCTCAAAAATGTACCAAATATCCCCATTTTATGGTATTGTCCGTCATCGGAAAGCAAGCTGTATTTGGTGACAGTGAGCACAGAGTTCCTATATTTGTAAGTAATTAAATATTTAATTATGCATATACACATTATTTTAAAATAAATATTTTACTATGGTGCCCATTACTCTTGAACATACCATTTAGTTTTAGTACAAAGAATGTACAAATGAATTGACACAAAATGGTGGTTCATAGATAATTTTATTGATTATTTTTTATTTAAAAACTAAAGTGTGATCATCAATCACAATAGAAAAAGAATAGCTTGGAAAATTTAGCCACAAAATCTTTTTAAGTTATTGTGTATTGAGTTCAGTAGATAAATCATGTTTTTAGTTAACTTTTTTGTAAAATATATAATTATAGTTAAATGTAGTGTTTAAATTGTTGTCTTTTTGAATAAAATGTAAAATGAATGAGTGTGTGAGAATTTATAGGATGTCTTATAACCTGTAAATATAATAAAAGAAACCTTTATGATATGTTATTTTTTAGACCACTGAACCTGACACTGAAACAGTTCAATTTCCTGATACTGTAAAGTCACCTTCAACAAGAGGGCAAACATGTAGGATTTGTAAGTTTTTTAATATTTTATTAAACAAGAAACCTCCCATGCTATTATTTATATTTTAAAGAAAGCTATTTACTTGATATTTACATATACATAATATTTATTAATACGATACATAATATTTATTAATATTATACGTAATATAATATTAAGGAGCGTCTGGAAACCTCTCATATTACTTTAAAACCTCTGACAAGGAATATAAATAATCTTGAGTAATACAACTGCTGTTTTATATTTACAGACACTTCAGAAATAGCTGTGTCTGATTCCACACCAGTTAACACCAATACACAGACACAGCATATGGCCGAGTTATCACGGACTCAAAATGTTCCTGAACCACCACAAACTGGTATTTATTTATTTAGGATCAAGGGAAAAAGTACAATAAACAATATTTTAAATATATATAAACAATTACAGTACCATTCAAGTGCCTTACCAAATATTTTTTTAAGCTATTGCATAGCTTCCATCGCGGGCCTTGAGTGCGGGAAAATCCAGAAATTTCGTAACGAAAAAAAACCTCACGCTCTCCGACGGGCACGGAGGTGTGGCTTGAAGGCCGTGCATTGTCTAACGATGGTCTAACGTCGTTTCTTTTCCTCAGTCTTCGACACGGTGTTTGTGTATAAAGTGTTTTGAAATTTTGAATATGAATGAACAAAGTGCATTTATTATTAAGGCTGCTCTCTCGCAAAAAGCTTGAAAAAAAGCGTGCAGATGAACCAACTTTTCGTCGACACTTACAGAGAAATTACATATGAAAAAAAAAGCTAGTAATCTACATGATCTGATACGTAATTTGGTTTAGCCATAATTTTTCTATCGGTGTCACATAATAAATAAAAAAATACGCAAATCACCTCCAAATCGTTGAGATGAAACCACTTTACTCCTTCATTGTTTATCAAAGGAATATAAAAAAATATCTACTGCTTTGCAATACAAAATAAAATAATTTGGTTTGGTTACTTTTTAGAAATATGTATTATTTTTATGATAATAAATTAAAAATGCGTCCCGATTAAATACTGCGTCTATATCACCCCCGCATTCGTCCACGAATTCAGTGCGGGGCGCATCGTGTTGCTAGGTGGACGTACGCCGCGTTGCGAGAGCTCAGCACTACGAAATAAAATCGTAAAATATTACTGCAAAAATTTAATTTTGTTAATAGTGGAGTAGGTTTTTTCTGATTCTTGTTTAATAGTAGTGTTTTATAGTTATATTAATTGTACAGTTTTATTAATGTTTAAGTTTAGTTTGTAAAACATGGGGAATAAGCAGAAACGATTGAAGAGAGGTCTAAAAAAATATTACAAACAAAAGGGTACACATTTATCAAGGTAAGTTTTAAGTTTTATCTACATATTTCATAATATTAGACAGGTGCTGTTTATAAAATACCTATATTACTGTGATTTCGCCACTCTGTGACGAGACAAAGCGCGGCAAACGCAAGTGGCGGCAAGGCGCGGGCCGCGTCGTCGCATGCTGGTAGCGCATGTCTGAGAAATTAAAAAATATATATTTCGAAGAAATGTGAAGTTCGTCGACACGCATTGAGGCAGCGTGGCGGACATTTCCTTGCCTTAAAACCCTCTCAGAAATTAGAGGAGGCCTGTGCCCAGCAGTGGGACGTATATAGGCTGTAACTTTACTTTTTTTTACTTTTATAAATATGTTAATTTACCGACGAAAATTTTAAAGAAAAATAAAAAATAAGCAACCGACAACCTCCTAGGTCCCTAGGTGACTTGCGAGATGTCAGTGTAACAAAACAAAACGGCCCAGAAAAACAGACTTTCCAACTGATAGCTAAATCAGCACGCAACAATTTCATTGGTGCCAGTGGGGATCGAACCCGGGTTGCTCCCGTACTGTGATACCTATAACGAGCGTTAACCATGTGAGCTACCACGGCTCTCAACGACATCGTTCCGTTCGTGTACAGCGCTGAAGATAGCAGAGTAAAAAATTAGAGATTGTGGTGTTTGCAATTTGTCATCTGTGAGAGTGAATTTTATCTGTGTACTCTGTAACAAATAACTATATAGAAAAAAATTCTGAAAATGATATTTCGCCATTTTTGTTTGTGTACTGGTTAGGAACTCGATCAAAAATTTGATAATTTTTCTGTTTTTATACGTTATTTCTAATGTTATTTTACATCAAATCAATTGTGAAGATATTTTCTTTAGGAAATATGTTTCATTACGACGATTCAAAAACGTTTACATATAATAATTTATCTCGAAATTCACTATACGCGATTATCGTTTATTGATTATATTATGTTGTTTAAAAAGTATTCCTATCAGCTTTGTGTTAAATGGATGCTAAATATAAAAGAATGCTTCAATATTGATAGCAATTTATAAACGAAATATCTGTTGAGATGTGTCTAGAAATTATAATTAATAAGTATACATTTATCTATATTGAGTACTAGTTTTTCCCCGCGATCTCGCCCGCGTGGAATATGGATTTCATGGGTTTTAATTTTTTTGCGCGGAACCCTAATTCTTTTTCTAAAACAAAAGTAGTTCAAGTTATTCCTTATATCATCAGCTATCTGCCAGTGAAAGTCCCGTCAAAATCCCTCCTCCAGATCCAGCTGTTTCGGAGATTAGCTGGAACAAACAGATAGACAGACAGACCGACAGACAGACAAAGATAGTACTTTCATACGCATTTAATAAAAAGCTGTTATTTTAACATTACAAACAGACACTTCAATTTTATTTATTTGTAGATATAGATGTAAGATATTATTCATATTGGTGTCATTTTAAAGGGAATATCATGTACTATTATAATAATAAAATAATTGTCTCCAGTAAATATTATACTTTTCTTGTAAAACTCGAAATAAGTAACAAATAAATACGATTTATTTTTATATTCCCATATGCTTTATTTTCATCCTTTATTTTTTATTTGGCCAATTTTCTTTTAACAAAATTAAATTCTGAATTCGTTGAGCTTTTTGAGAATATTTTTATTTGAATGTTAGGTAGGTACCTATTTAGTTTTTCGGTAGTAATCGTTTTTGTTGCGACAGTCTCGCGCGGTCGTAAAAAAAGTTACCAAGACAGGTGGGACGAGAATCACTTGCGCGGCGTGGACGGTGGATAGGTAGTCTACCTACTGTTATTACCTAGATACCCACAACCTATACAACAAAATTTGGCAAACTGTCGCTGCGTCGTGGAAACTAAAATCTAAACTGCCTACCTACCTGCCTAAGTACGTCGGTACTAAGGAAACAGTCTTGACGGGTCACTTGTCTTGATAAAAACATGTGTTTACATCTAGTGATATTGTGTGTATATAAAACAAAGTAAGAAGACAGGTCAGTATTTTTGAAGACAATTTATAGGTAGGCAGAACTAATTACAATTATTATCTAAATATTATAAATGCGAAAGTTTGGATGGATAGATGTATGTTACTCAATCATAGCTGAAGGGATCTGGATGATATTTAGCTCAGAGATAGGTTATACCTGGTCTGGAATAACACATTTGATACCGTTTATTCAGGTATTTCGTTCCTGTGGGATAATTTTCGAGTTCACGCGTTTGAAGCCGCTGGCAACAGCTAGTACGGATATAAACTGCGATGACTGTTCCAGTTCATGCTTCGGCGTCGTGAACTCTTGAGTGATCGCTGCATGACCACCCGGGGAAAACAAAACATAATAAAATAAGCAATCTATATTAGGTATCTATGGAGCTATAGAGGTAAAGTATAAAGCGATAACGCAGCACCTAATAATTTAGTACGAGTTTGTAGGTAGGTACTGCTGATTTCTCAGCAAACGTCGAGCGGCACAGAGTAGGGTGGTATGTATGTGTGCATCGTGTTCGTGTAACTTCGTTTTTGTTCTAACGGTTCGGAACGCCGTACGAACAAGACGTGCGTTCTAACTGCTCTTCACTGATACTATCTCTGTCGGGCACGATGCCAGGTGAGACAACGTGATTTTTGGTCGCGCTCACCAATGAGTTCGAGCCCGCGACTTGTGCCACCTTAATGAAGAAAGTCACGAAAAAATAGTGAAAGAAAATGAGTGAGTACTCTATATACATACCTACATTTTATTATTATCACAAATGCAGTACTAATTTTGAATTGAAAATATAATACTGCTATAAAGATAACCCAAAATTTTTGATATTAAAATGAGCGATATTAAAAGTATCCCTCTTTATATACACACAAACACACACACGCGTATAGTTTAAATTCTCAATTTAGATTCTCAATATGTATATATATACTCGATTAACCGGACTAATTGTTGCCGTTAGGGATTCGGATAATCGAAAATCCGGATGATCGAATGTATGAAGAAAAGCGGGTTTGTGCATTTGTAGTACATATGTACATACATAATGTTATGTGTTTATTAAAAACAACAATTTCAACGAAAATCAATGTTTATTAAGAAATTATTAAGCTATTGCATAACTTCTATCGCGGGCCTTGAGCGCGGGGACCGAATCCAGAAATTCCGTAACGAAAAAAAACCTCACGCTCCCCACTCCGACGGGCACGGAGGTGTGGCGTTGAAAGCCGTGCATCGTCTAATGTCGTTTCAGTATCGGCAGACTTCGGCACTCGGCAGACTTCGGCACGGTGTTTGTATGCGTGCGACTAGACGTATGCGTGTACACTAGCTGCTAACTCAATGATAAAAATTCCTGAATAACCTACATGTATTGTAAGATATTAAAAATATTTTAAACAATATTAACTTCTCATTTATTCAATAAGAGAAAAAAAATTGTTTTCTTATCGGTCACCACGCTCAAAAAGTGTAACTTGATTTAATATCAAAGACTTAACTGCATAAATAAAATAAATAAATAATTATAATTGCATAAGTTGATAAAAAATGCTATGCAATAGCTTTACCGCGGCAGTCACCGAGTGCCACACGTATTTTTTAAATTATTAATTACAGGGCTTATAGTCCTGGTTACCTATATTTGTTTAGTATTAATGGTATATGTAGTAGAACCAGAGTGACTGACATAGCTCAACGGATAAGTAAGCTGCAGTGTCAATGGGCTGGCCATATAGCTCGAAGAACCAACAACCAATGGAAAAACGTTCTCGAGTGGCAGCCTCGTAACGGTAGGTGAAGTGTACAGCGTACCCCCACTAGATGGAGTGACGACCTGGTAAGATATAGAGGAAGTCGATGGATGTAGGTGGTTCAGGACCGTGCTTTGTGGCATTCTTTGCCGGAGGGCTGTATTGATGATGCTGATGAATGGTATATGTTTAGTATTAATAGTATAAAAATAAATATTTTATCATACCTATATTTACAATATAATACAAATACAAGGCGATTTTCTTAAATTAAAATATTTTTATGCAGGAGTAGAGAGTCCTGTGATTCGAAGGCCTACTGAACCCCATCGCTTTAGACGTAGCAGATCCTCTACTACTCGTGAGTTAACTTGAGTTTTTATATTTAGAAACAATATTTATATTCTTTTATGTTTCAGATCAGTCTAAAGTCGATCCGGAATGGGTCATGGAACTAGAGGAGAAAAGGGTTGAGGCTGAAAAAAAGCTTGCCGATGCTGCAATGGTGATGGCAGAGGCATCTCTCATGCAAGCTGAAGTAGCCCGCACACAAGCTCACATAACTGGCACACTCGTAGAGCTTGTGCAAAGGCAAAGCGAAGAAATACGTGCCTTGCTTGAAGCACGGAGACTACCAGAACTCTAACCCATTACCCTGTTACTAAGTTCCTGTCACATACAATTAATTGCTGTTATCATACTATTGTGTCTGAAAATTGGGCAGTGAGGGTTTAAAATAATTTCAATATATTTAAAAAAACATATCAATAGAATTAAGATGAAAAATGAACATACAGTCCATTTATACATCATATTAAGTATCAAAGTGTAAAAGAGTTATTGCCACTGTGGTGATAAATAATTTAATTTTTAATTCTGTCTAAGTCTGGTCGTAGCTACCGGTGATTCTATGCCTGGTTCTTTTTTCGCTCAAAGCTATAGTTTAACCATGCAGTGTTGAAATGCAACCCATTTTCTTCAAGGAACAATAATTAGATTAGGGCTTTATGATAATTTTAATTAGTATGTTATATAGTAGTACTTGTAAGAATAATTGTTTTATTTTAGTTTTAAATAAAATTCATTGTTTAAGCTTACATTTGTTTTATTATACACAAAACTTCACTTTAAACAACATTAGAATTAATTGTATAGTGATAAAGAACAATCATTAAAAAATTATGTTTCCAATAAAAGATTTACCTAATTATTTATTTTGCTTTTTACCCTTGAACTGGAAATGTACATATTTTCAGGAGCCAGTTTTTCATTTTACACATTGTATTATAATATTAGAACAAAAATAGAAGTTATGAAATACAAATAGGAATAAAATACAAAATAAAATTAAACAAATTTTGCTCACACATTTAGAATACCCTAGAATAGAAGAGAATCATATTTATTCAATATAGATAACAAGAATACTTATTGTAAGTCATTTTTACTTCTGGTTCAGTAAAAACCTCTATCCTGGGAAGGAACAACAAGAAACCCAGAGGGTCTTATAAAATCAATTTAGATTTAGAGGTCTAAATAAAATCAATTTACAATGTATTATTTTACAATTGGTATGATGACATTAGAAATAGCGTGGTAGCGATCACCAGCCTCATTCCCAGGGGTTGTTATCAATCATGTACTCTTTAGTAGTATAATAACCCTTACTAATCAATTTTTGCTTAATAATTTTTTTTGATAGGCCTGCATACTATCCGAGTCTATGTTGTGAAACCGTATACATTGCCCCATAAAGAAAATACTGACTGCGAGTCGAGTAACTGGTAAAAGTAACTTGTGCTTGTTTCTGTGTGCATACATAAAATTTTTGTAAATATATTGAGGCTAAAGTTAATATGTTGATTTTTTTAAAAAATTATCTAAGGAATTCCTTCGGAATTAGGTTATAAATTGCACGTATGGCTCTCTTTCTCTGCAAAACAGAGATAATTTCAATGCCAGTCGCATTACCCATTATGCTATGGAAATAACTAAAATAAACTTATCTAGCTGTTTCAACAAATATAAGGCCCCCAAACTTTTTGTAGCTAGCTAGTTTAGATATATGAGGGCCCCATTGAAGCTTCGCGTCAACTCTAATTCAGAGAAAAACAGCAGATTCAACAAGACTGCTCATCCCCATTTGAAAGCACATTGGTATTCACCTGTTGTAAATTTAACATATTTCGTTTTATTAGTGTTTAAAAGCAAATTATTGACGTTGAATCAGTGCACTACTTTTATTATAGCATTATTCACTTCGTCATATTTTAATAATTGTCTTTTCAGTCGGAAAATCAAATAGCAAGCAAATAAAACTATATCATGGGTATTCGTTACCAAGTACTAATTATAATAAATACTAGAATGTATAATTAAGTTTATATTAATGGCTTAACTCATTAATATAAAGGACAGGAATTGGCCAAGAATTTAGCTGTGAGAAACACCCATTAACCCGTGAGAAGGCGCGCCATGAGCAATTTGCTCACACAAAAATTTAATTCAAAAATACCTTCCTAAATATTCACCCCCTCTCCCCTGACGCAATTCTCGATCCGCTCAGTGGCGTTGCGACCGCGCAGCAAGGCGTTTGTGGAGGCCGTGTACCAACGTGCGGCAATTTGCTCATCACGCGCCCATCCGTGTAAGTATTTATTTTTGTGGTTTAAAAAAGTTAGATTGTTATTTCTGCCATATTATTTCTTATTATTAAATTATTATTATTATTTGTTTGATTTATATTAGTCGATTATCATGTAAAAACTCTTTAATAATAATGTTATTATTTTTATTTTTCTTCTAGCTACACTACAGATACAAAATGGACCATCGAATGCAATTCGTTCGTGGTTGGAAGAGGTTTCTGGTGATGAATTGGATGCAGATCTTGAAAATGGGGAACAATATCGTGTTGACACCATAGAAAGCGATAGTTCTGTCATCCGTAGTCCTCACGAAACTGATACGGAGCAATCGTCGGATGAAAACGATGCTGATATTTCTACTCCCGCGACTCAACAACATAGAGGTAGGATCCCATACTATATTGGCAAAGATCGTTCCACAAAATGGCTTATCCACAAGCCTTTACGTAACGTACGTACTAGGAGTTATAACATAGTTATCCACCTGCTAGGAGTAAAAAATGTAGCTAAGAATGCCCAAGAACCTTTACAATGTTTCTCATTGTTTGTGGATGATACCATGATAGACAAAATAGTCCTGTACACGAATGTGTACATAACTAAACTACAAGAAAAGTTTTCACGTGAACGGGATTGCAAACTTACAGATGCAGTTGAAATAAAAGCATTGATCGGAGTTTTGTACATGGCGGGCTTGAAAAAGTATCTGTCATTTAAATGTAAAAGAAATGTGGCTAGATGATGGAACAGCATGTGATTTTTTTAGAGCAAACATGTCAATAAAAAGATTTTTATTTTTGTTACGGGTTTTGCGATTCGATGACATAAATACTCGTGATAATAGAAAGGAAACCGACCACCTGGCACCAATCCGAGAAATTTTTGAAAGCTTTGTTGCTCATTGTAATCAAAATTACACACCCGGGGAATACTACACTGTGGATGAAATGTTGGAATCATTCAGAGGCCGCTGTAAATTTAGAGTTTATATATCCAACAAACCCGCAAAGTACGGCATAGATAAATAAATATGTAGAAGTACGGCATCAAAATCTATGCACTTGTAGATTCCAAAACCTTCTACACAATTAATTTGGAGATTTACGCCGGGAAACAACCCGCAGGGCCATTCAGTTTGAGTAACTCCGCTGCTGATGTAGTGAAGAGAATTGCACAACCCATATTGAACACGGGAAGAAATCTAACTATGGACAATTATTTTACATCCATACCGTTGTTTGACGAACTGAAAAACACCTATAGAACAACTGCGGTGGGAACACTGCGAAAAAATCAAAAAAAATCCGCCTTCTTTTTTGTCAACAAAGGATAGGCCAATGCCAAGTTCAATTTTTGGTTTCGGTGAAGATAAGATAATCTTATCATATGTGCCAAATAAAACAACAAAGAAGATTGTCCTTATGCTATCAACACTTCACAATGACGACGCTATAGACCAAGAAACTGGAAGTGAAGCTAAACCTGAGATTGTAACATTTTATAATTCCACAAAAGGAGGCGTAGATGTTGTAGATCAAAGAGGATTATTCCGTTGCCAGAATCACATCAAGATGGCCAATGCGCTTATTCTTCTCCATTTTGAATATAACTGGGATCAATGCCCAAATAATATACAAAGCCAACACAAACACTCTGATTGAGAGACGAACATTCTTGAAAGAGGTGGCTCTCGAGCTGGTGAAACCACATATTTCACGCCGGACTTGCATGGAGAACATATCCTCAGATCTCAAATTTCTAATGAAGCGATTTGTGCCGGCTCCTGTGCCTGTTGCGGAGCCAGTACCAAGCGGATTTTGTGCAATATGTCCTAGACGTAAAAATAGAAGGTCAAAAAAACCATGTACTTCGTGCAAGCAATTACTTTGCACCGAACATGTAAAATACATGTGTTCAGTGTGTTTCGAGAGGCACATTAGTGTTGATTTAATGGATGAATAACACTTTTTAGTTTTTGTTATGTAACAGTTTTTACTGTGATTTTTATGAAACGTGCCAAAAAATTTAATTAATACTAGGTTGTTTTGTTATTTGCGTTAGAAGTTGCTATTATGTTTAATAGTTTTGATTAAAATACTTGTTTTCTTATTACTAAACCTTGTGTTATTTATTTAAATATATTATAAGCCAATAAATATAGAAACACTAAAAATATGAACATTTATGATAGTCTGAGCAATTTGCTCGCGCGCGCCTACTCGTGTAAGAAAATTAGGCGCGACTTCTCACGGGTTAATAACAACCGTTTGCATTCTACATATTATTTACATATGATGTAATGAGTTTAAGCACTAAGTTTTTACACCATAATGATGTATCTTCCTGATTGATGTCTCATGGTGAACACATTCGAAAGCCTTGGAAAGGTCACAAAATATACCCAAAGCATCCTCTGAATTCTCCCTTGTACAAAAAATATTTTACTTTAATTAGCTCAACACCAGTGTCAGTTATCGAGTGACCCCTTGTAAGACCAAATTGATGTTATGGAGCAATTTATTTACATTAAAAAATTAACATTTGATCTACAACAATTTTTTCAAATGATCAGAATTTAAAATTTGACTATTTTGTAAGGGCTCATCATCAGCAAAAATGTTATTTATACAAGTTACAATACGCCCTGCAATACATGTTGGTAATTAGTTTATGTAAGGGCACATCAGTAAAAATGTTACCTATACAAGTTGCACCAGGCCTTGCCATATGTTTTGGCTCTAAGAACAAATTTACAAGGTTGAATGTGCTTAATACTTATGGAAGAAGTTTCAAGGAGATTGATATTAAAGTCTCCACATATGATAACATTTATTCTGTGTATTAAGCTAGAGTGAAACTTCCTCCATATTTTTTTTTTCAAAAGAATATTGGGGTCTGTAAATACTAACAACAATGAGGTGCTCAAAATCAACACATGCTATTTCTACTGTTCCCTCAACAGAGGCTCACAATATCCTTACATTCTTTACATATTAACAATTTGTTAGCTAATATTAAGGAGCCACCACTTAAATGTTTTTCTCTGTTATAGCAACTGAGATCACCTGGTACTTACTGAAATTAAACATAAATTAATCCAAATTCAATGTAAAATCATCCTCTGAGTGAGGGATGTTAAGTGTTTATAAGTATAATATATAAACGCAAAATTATTAGGAATTAAACAAAATATATCCATAGACATTAAAAAAGTAAAGCCATTTCATATTAAATAAAAATTCAAATAAAATTATTAATATACAAGATTAAAAACAATGCCTACACATTTTAAAGGTAAAGAAATTGCATATTAGAACAAATAGTTAAAAAAATAAACAATATTATAATGGGAAACAAATCAGATAGGCAGCAGTGTCTTCCTTATAATGAGTACAAATAAAAAAAGGGTTGCTAAGCCGCTTGTTAAGCCTGGCAACTACGGCAAACATACCCCTAAATATATGCCTATGAGGCAATCTATGGGGGAGGCCTATGTTTAGCAGAAGACTTTAACGGTAACGATAAACAATATTGCTGTTGATACATAATTAAAAATTAAAAATTTTGTACAACCAATTTCAATATAAATTAGTAAGAATAACTCAAAAAGTATTGGTCAGACCTTGATCAAATTTATATGGGACCACATGTTAAGCACCAGCTTTCAAATAAAAAAAAGAATCATCGAAATAGGTTCACCCAGAAAGAAGTTATATAAGGTAACACACATTAAAAAAAACATACAGTCGAATTGAGTACCTCCTGTTTGAAGTCGATAGAAAATAATATGTATATAAAAAATTCTTTAAGCTTATACAATATGTAACAAAAACCCTGTGGTTCCCGTTAAGTGCGTTATCAGAATCAGTATTTAAACGTATAGAAATAACTTTACTTCAGAAAACTCGACATAAAAATAATCAAATTAAATTTTAATTAAATAATATTTTATGTGGATTGATTACCTCTGCCTGGAATTATCGACAGCGGCGGGCGGCAGCCGGCGGTGACGTACATAACGTCGTGACCTCGTCACATCACAGCTGCTATAGTCAAACACTAATTTATTACTATGTCTACTTGACGACCACGAAGATGTTGTTCAATATGTCCACCTTGTACCTCTGTACATTTGTGACACCGGCTTGTAACGTCTGAACGCACGCGTTGCAACAGACATTTCGGACTTTATTTTTTCAAAGGATGCGTACTGCATACGCATTTCTGCCTCGGTATCGCATGTTTTTTGGAATACAGTCTGCTTAATCGTACCCCAGAGATAAAAATCTAAAGGTGTGAGATCAGGTGATCGTGCCGGCCAGTTGACCGGTCCACCGCGGCCAATCCATCTTTCACCGAACTCAGTATCCAAAAAACTTCTTACACAACGGGAGAAATGCGGTGGAGCACCATCGTGTTGAAACCACATGCGACGAACGAGGTCTAAATTTATTTCGTCAAGTTCATTGCTTAGTTCTTCTCGCAAAAAACGTCCATTCATTCATTTGTGGTCTAGGAAATACGGACCAATAATTTTGTCACCTATAATTCCCGCCCACACATTGATTTTCCATCGGTGTTGAAAGTGGCTTGGTTTATACGAATGTGGATTTGTCGTTGACCATACGTGTTCATTATGAGCATTAAATACACCTGTTCTTACAAAAGAGCATTCATCCGTAAAAAGTACGCGGTTCAAAAACTCAGAATCTCCTTCAACCTTATCAAGTAACCATCTACAGTAATCCATTCTCGGCTCGTAGTCGTTAGGAAGAAGACATTGAACTCGACGATAATGATATGGGTGCTGGCCATCATCTTTGAGGGCTCTCCAAACGCGCATATGGTTCACACCTAGTTCACGTGCCACCGAGTGCGTGCTCCGCGTCGCATCTTCCTCAAACATGTCGAGAATGTGCTCCTCGATGTCGTCGTCGTACATCCTCGGTCTTCCTGAATCTGTACGTTGTTGATCACGGCCATGCACACTGCCAGTATTGTACATACGAATGTGAAGTCGTTGGAACGTCATTGCCGACGGCAATTGTATATTTCGTGGAGTAGCAAAGCACTCCCCGTAAAGTCTTCGTGCTGCTGCATTTCGTGCTGCAGTTACATTTCCCGAGACACATCAACATATGTGCGTGCGTGCGTGCGTGCGTGCGTGCGTGCGTGCGTGCGTGCGTGCGTGCGTGCGTGCGTGCGTGCGTGCGTGCGTGAGTGCGTGTGTGTGTGTGTGTGCGTTAGTGCGTGCGTGCGTGCATCGTGCGTGGGTGCCTGCGTGCGTGCGTGTGTGCGTGCGTGCGTGCGTGCGTGCGTGCGTGCGTGCGTGCGTGCTAGAGTGCGTGCGTGCGTGCGTGCGTGCATGCGTGCGTGCGTGCATGCGTGCGTGCGTGCATACGTGCGCGCGTGCTTGCGTACGTGCGTGCGTGCGTGCGTGCATGCGTGCGTCCGTGCGTGCGTGCGTGCGTGCGTGCGTTCGTGCGTGCGTGCGTGCATGCGTGCGTGCGTGCGTGCGTGCGTGCGTGCGTGCGTGCGTGCGTGTGTGTGAGTGTGTGGTGTGTGAAAGTATGTTTATAGCTTCATACGGTACGACGAATGATACGGTGATAGGGATACAACGATTGGATCGGGCAAATGATACATAACTGGACCCGGCTTAAGAATATACTATAAGCCGACGAAGAAGATTAGTAATTTAAATCAAAAATCAATATCAACATTCGAAGATAACTGTGCACTTAAGGCGACTGTCAGATCCTGTCGCCTGTTGCAGCCAGCAAATTTGATCCGCCTCTCCAAACACCTTGTCCCGCCTAGACTAAATTCGATCGTCTGTTTACACTACTGCACTATTAAACGTTTCGCTTTGACTTATCAATGAACTAGTTTGTATTACTAGGATATAAATAGAAATCACACTTAGTGTGAGATTTGTTTCGGCACGAAACAGTACGTTTGCACAGAGTTTTAATATTACCGATGTTTATTTTTCCATACATTTTATAACAATAATTTTATTTTTTAAATTATATAAAAACATGATTTTGTATTTAGTTGTATCACTTATTTTGTTTTTAATTTTACTATCGTGGTTTAACTTGATATGGGACGCAAAAACAAATTCTGTAGCTGGACCATTTCCCCTTCCATTATTAGGAAATGGACTTTGTTTACTTGTAAAACCGACTGGTAAGTGGAAAAAATATAGTATTATTAACAATTTTTTTATTCCGAGGCAAGTTTTTAATGCATCTAAAACTTAAATATTGCACTAATATTTAAATAAAGCATATTTTCACTTTGTATGATGTTTGTCAGTGATCATTTATTTAAAGCAATTGAATAAATTTGAATTTATGGTTATTTAAAATTCCTAAAAAGTGTAAAATTTGCCAAATATAAATTGGACACGGGTAAGATAGGGTTGCGGTTGGGGGAACTTCTTTTCATTAAATTAAAGTGACAAACGATCTTTCAGTCCACCTGATGATAGGTAAGTGGTTACTGTAGCCCTTTTTTGCATGCAGTAAACTTCAACTATTGAAGGTTACAGAAGCGTTGTTAAATTATTATCTTATCTCTGTAGAGTGATAAGGCACTATAACCTTCAGACCGGAACACAGCTGTGCACGCAATGCATTTGGCGGCAGAAATAGGTAGAAAAAACCTACAAAGACGTACACCTGGGTAGAAAAATATTCATGTTTTGTGCAATGTTTTCCTAAGTGCACATAGCTGTGGTAACTCCGAGGCCAAGTGCTTTCAATAAAATTCACAGCACACGAGCTGCCAAGGTTCTCGCCGGAACTAGTATAATTGGTAATTGCAGTTGTAAGTGCCTAAAATGACTTGTGACCAGGCCTTGCACGTATATGTTCTGTGATTTTACTCTGTTTTAATTTGAATGTAATAAATATTTGTTAAAGAACCATTTTTTAAATTTTTATATGCTTTATTAAATAGTTAGTATGGGGTACTACGATTTAATGAAAATTGTTTTATGCATACACGTACACTACACCATATGAAAATTCGACAAAAAATGGTAGCTAAAAACAATATTTTAAAATAGAGACCTAGATACATCGAAATATTAATACCACTGAATATTTATTGAATTCGATCGAAATCTTGCAGTATACATAACTGGCTTACTGCTTATAAATATATCTACAAAATTTGACCTTCACAAAGTTCAAAAACTTTATTAAACTAAGTGTGTATACAAGGGTTATTATAATGTTGAGGAATTTATGGATGATAATAGCCCCTAGAAAAGGTAATCACTACCAAGCTATTTACTTCATTTGTTTTGTGTGGTTTTGTTACATATATGATTGTAAGCGGCTATTTTTTGGGTTGGGTGTCTTACTGGTTCTTTCCAGAACAGAGGATTTTTCCGAAGCCGTGGTAAATTAAAAAAAGTGAATTTAAATAAGTATTATTTATAATCTATATTGAGTAAAAATTTAAGTTTCTGTTTCTTATGTAAACTCGAATATAGTATCGAAATAATGTTGTGAGCCATCACAGCAGGAGGGACTGAAAATTATAACGCTTCCTTTTATGATAGATGATAAAAACTTAATCTTCGTTGTAGTTAAAAACTTAGGTTGCATACATTAAATATTTAAATTCTTAATCAATTTAGTAATGTATTATTCAATAAAATGATTTGGAATTTTTATTTACATGACGCAAATCCATTTTATAAAAATACTGAATTTGTTAAGATAGATATTCTTATAAACTTAATCTAAGCTGGATTGGGACCGGAACAGGTTTGGATGTAAAAAAGTGTGATTGAGTAACACAAACTTGGGTATCATGCATTCTGTAGCTAAACAGTGTAATATATGTATTAAGAATCATTAGTCATTATACATTTGTATATAATCTTTCATAAAATAATGTTAAATAGGTGCAGATCCTTAGTTATCTTACTTCCATACATTTTTATGGAAGTTATGTAATTTTATTACACTGGTAATATAACTTATTCACGCGGAGTTTTTACCGTTTTGAATCCAAAAAAATTTAGTAAAACCCGTTTAGTTTTAGGCACTAGTTAACGTCAACAAACTAGAGTTAACTTTGTAAACACTCTGGACAGCCTCATTTATTTTGAAGTCACGAATTTTAACAATATAAAATTAATTTTGATGTCTATGGATCTATTTCGGCTTTATTAAATCTATTGAGTCTTCATATTACTTTTACGAAAAAATTATAATTCTAAAATATAGTGTAACACCAATAGCGTGTACAAAGGTTTTGGGAAATACCCGAAACCCTCACAAGCAGTATAAGCACCAAATAAATATAAGATAAGCTTCTAGATTCGCGACGTGTTAAGTAATCCATTAAAGTCATTAAGGTCATTTGTTTTTCTGTTTATCGTTATCCTGTTTTTGTGAAGGTGACAAGTATTATCATGATAAACAGGTTTGCAAGTTAAAAAAGACTATAACTTGACTTTTGGAACGATTAATACGTAATTATAAATTAAAACTACACTGTACGACAACCTGATATTTTTATGTAGAATGTCCAGTAGCCCAAACGAAACGAAATGAGATCGTGGCCTAGAACAGCCAATTTTTTTAATAAAACTGTTACATATCATGAAAATCAAATAATCTTGAAAACTTCAAGATTTTTTGATTTTCATGACTCTATCGAAAATTTGTCACCCTAATAGGTATAATTTATGACATTCTATTAAAATAGCGGAAACGTATTTTTTTATTGAATATTATTTCTGATGTCATTATTTCTGAACTGCATGTTTTTTGCGGTTTCCCAACAAGATAAACACATTTTGAAAAAAAAATAAAGTTGCAAATTTCTACGGCGACAAGATTTTTCATCCAAGCTTAGATAATGTGATGTTAAAAAAAGTACTACATCCTTGATGGCTTGACAAACAGTGCAATGAATGAAAATTTTGAAAACAATGAAACAAAAACAATTTTTAATAAAACAAGAAACTATTTTATTGCTGAAGGGCCTAATTTATCAATAAAAGTTTTTTTGTTTCATTTTGCAGTACATCTCAAAATATTGTAAAATATGAGATTGTCTCGAAATTTAGACAAGTGGAACCAACACTAGCACCAAAACAGGTTTTCAAGTTAATAAATTTTTAAAAACACTAAAAATAAATTAAAATAAAATATGATGAATAATATTATGAATAATTTTTTTTAAAGGACAGGGTGACAAACGAGCACACAGTCCAGGTGGACTCTCTCAGTCTCTGGGCCGCAGCAACCACCTACCATCAGGTGATGGTAGGTGGTTGCTGCGGCCCAGAGACATCTACATCTATCCTCGATTACAAATCAAAATGCAGATGCGTTGTCACCCGTGAGGACTAAGATGGAATCCCTCTTTTCCAGTAAAAAGGGTCTACGGTTCTCTACACTTACCATACGAAACACAGCAGCATTACGCTACTATTTTACGCTGGTCTTCTGTGAGAGCGTGGTCTTTCCCCGATGGAGCCGACCCATTCGTGCTACAACTATACTACTAATATAACTGCAGCATGGCTCTACCACGTATAAATATACCAAAATAAATAAACCAAAAAGTATTATTATTATTCATTTATTTTTGATAACAGATGTTCAAAATGTCCACTTCCCGACCTGATACATAACCGACATCTTCTAATAAAAGAACATTTGATTCGTTGTGCATATCCGACATTGTTGATTTCTTGAGCAGCGCTTTGGATACGCTCACGCAGTTTAAAAAACCACCAACGCCTTGTCCAAGAAATCTACCTCATTATCATCATCATTACAGCCCTTCACAAGTCCACTGCTGAACATAGGCCTCCCCCAAGTAATGCCACAAAGCACGGTCCTGAGCCACCTGCATCCATCGACTTCCTGCATGTCTTACCAGGTCGTCACTCCATCTAGTGGGGGGTCGCCCTACACTACGCCTACCGGTACGAGGCTGCCACTCGAGAACCTTTCTTCCCCATCGGTTTCCGGTTCTTCGAGCTATATGGCCGGCCCATTGCCACTTCAGCTTACTAATCCGTTGGGCTATGTCGGTCACTCTGGTTTTACTGCGGATATCCTCATTTCTGAGTCTATCACGCAGTGAAACTCCGAGCATAGCCCTCTCCATAGCTCGCTGAGCGACCTTGAGCGTCCTCATACGGCCAGCGGTGAAGGACCACGTCTCAGATCCGTAAGTCATCACTGGCAACACGCACTGGTTGTACACTTTAGTTTTCAGAGATTGAGGTATACCTGACGAGAAGATGTGTCGTAATTTCCCGAACGCTGCCCAGCCGAGTTGAATCCGTCGATTGACCACTCGGTCGAAGTTGGACTTACCTAGTCGGACTATTTGTCCCAGGTAAACGTACTAGTCAACAACTTCGAACATAGTGCTCCCAACAATTACCGGCATAGGTGTGACATGGATATTAAACATGATCTTTGTTTTGTCCATGTTCATCTTAAGACCTATCCGTTGGGAGACACGATTGAGGTCATTACACCATTGAGGAGCATAGTGCTAAAGTCCTCCAGCGATTCTGCCATAAGGACTATATCGTCGACAAACCGAAGGTGAGTGATGTACTCGCCATTGATGTTAATACCCTATCCTTTCCAGTCCAGTAGCTTGAAAACGTCTTCCAACGCAGCGGTGAAGAGTTTCGAGGATATAACATCACCCTGTCTTACACCTCTCTGCAGTTGGATAGGTTTCGTACTCTGGTTCTGTACTCGGATAGCCATCGTAGCCCTACTGTACAAACACTTCAGCACTTCAATATACCGACAGTCAACTAGGCACCGCTGAAGAGACTGTAGCACCGCCCAAATTTCGACGGAATCAAAGGCTTTCTCATAGTCCACATACGCTAGGCAAAGTGGCAGATTGTACTCTTAGGACTTCTGTACAATTTGCCGAAGGGTATGTATGTGGTCTATGGTACTGAAGCCTTTTCGGAAACCGGCTTGTTTGGGAGGCTGGAAGTTGTCGAGTCTGCGTGCGAGACGATTCGTGATGACTCTCGAAAACAGCACGTAGACGCGGCTCAGAAGGGAAATCGGTCTGTAGTTATTCAAGAGAGCTTGTCGCCTTTCTTAAAGAACAAGACCACCGCGCTTCTGCTCCACGCCTCCGGAGTAGTGCCACCATGGAGGACAGAATTGAAG